TAAATCAAACTTTTTGACACATAGTAGCCTATACTCTCTCTGCCAGATTTGAGGATCACTGCTCTAGAAGGTGAATATGAATTATTGAATTTTTAATCATGAAAATGTGTGTGAAATGTTTTGAATTTAAATATGCACAGCTGAAATATACAACTATGTTGGATTTTAGCCCCTAAAAATGCAAGCCCTGAAATTACAAGGCATTAAAATGCAAGCACTGTTAATGCAATGCATTATTTTTTCAGTTAGTGCAATTCAACATGCTTTTTTGTTTCGAAGACATTTGTCATTATTTTACTTCCATATACCTACAAAATAAATGTTAACTGTAAATGTTCATAAATGTTAATGTAAAACTTATTTTTATTTGAGCTACTTGACAAATCAACATTTCTCACGGTCATTTAGTCTAACTTGACGTAATAAAATAACTAAAACTAAAACTGAAATATAAACGTACAAAAACCTATATAGACATATTTGGGGGGGAAAAACAATAACTACTAAAAATAACAAAAACACAAAACCAAAATTACTAAAACTTTAACTAAACTTAGTATTATAGTAATAAGTAATACTAAACTAACACTGGACCAGATAACTTTAAACAAATGTTGAAGTATTAACGTTAGTGGAAGAACGTTTGTTCATAACAGTGAGAGAGCCTTGCTTCAAAAAGATGATCTAATGAAATTAATTGCGCTGCAAAGCATCTCGTTTCAAGCTAAATAATTTGTTAATGTGAGAATTCATTATTTCTTTACCTTTAACAGTGAGTCTGAAGCTCTTGTGTTGATTCTCATTTCTCCAGCAGGAATACAGTCCTTCATCTTCCTCAGTCAGGTCAGAAATCAGCAGAGAGAGGTTTCCTGAACTTCTATCAAACATGTGAAATCTGCCCTGATCGAGTCGGTGGAGTACAGTGGGGTTTATTTCTCTGTAGTTTGGTAATTCCCATCTGAACTCTGAATCTGGTTTATGACGAGCACTACATTTGACCAAACAGGACAGAAACACAGATTCCCCTGAATATGTGCTGATCTCCACTGATCCTTCATTCTCTGATATAGAACAACCTGCAGACACAAAACACAACCAGCTATCTCATTATATATATCATGATAATATACTGTATCTGACATACAACACAGTAAAAATACTTTGCTGGTTCGATTTTAACTATACGCTTCATACACTTGAACACACCAACAGTCATCAAAACTTGTGATATGTACTGTACATGAACGTGATATGTAAAAGTAATACATGTAAGTAATAAAAGTAAACACACACACACACACAAGCACACAAAGTAACAGCCACACACTAAAACATTTTGATTTTAAGGCACCCTGGTATAAAAAAAATCTCACACTTTTCCAGTTGATTGACTATATTAAGAATGGCAAACTATTTGCAATATATTGATTCGCAAATAACCTGCCTGATTTATCTCAACTGCTCTGTGTACCCATAAGTACACATGAACTAGACGGAATTTAATTGAATTGAATATTGCAAAATATATAACGTGTCAGAATATAGATAGTAATAACACTGTTAAAGGGTAAGTTCACCCAAAAATGAAAATTAGCCTGTGTTTTACTCACCCTCAAAGCATCCTAGGTGTATGTGACTTTCTTCTTTCAGACGAATCCAATCTGAGTTATATTAAAAGTTGTCCTGGCCCCTCCAAGCCTTTCAATGGGGGTAAGCAGGTGGTGGTTGTCAGTTCAGAAGACGTGAAATAAAGTGCGTGCATCCGTAATAAAACGTCCCTCACACGGCTCCGGGGCATGAATAAAGACCTCCTGTAGCGAATCCATGCATTTTTGTAAGATAAATATCCATATTTTAAATGTAATAAACACTTTTCTCTCACTGTCACAAATTCAGCCTCTGTGGCTCCCTCCGATCACCACCAGAGGGAACCATCACCGGAGTACTGAGCGATCCCTTCGGACTCCAGTTCCCACAATGCCCCATGCCTGAGTCTAATCACCTGCACAGGTGTTTCCTATTGCCCGGTCTATTTAAACTGCCTTCCCTGCTCTCATTGCGTCTTGTTTTGCCTCGCAGACATTTCTGAGCATTTTCCCTGTGTTATATACCTGTTGATTACCTGGACTGTTTACCCGTTCACGATTGCTCGCTGCCTACCTATTCTGACCCTGCCTGCCTTGTTGATTCATGCCATTGATTGTCTGCCGCCTGCCTCGACCCTTATTACGAACACTGTTTATGATTCTGCCCAGCCTTCGTTGTTTCTAACGCCAGTTTACGATTTATGCCTGTATGACCTGCCTTGTGAACTAATAAAGCTGCACATGGATCCTAATGCCACTGCCTCTCTGTTACACTCACTTCTGCTGACTGTGGTACGCGGAAGCCGTTCCGGCGGATGACGTAAGACGTCGACGTTGCATGATTAGTGACGAACGCGGAGACAAAACAAAACGCCGTTCACGAATTAGTAGCACAAAACGAGGATTTGTAAAGAAAAATGTGGGAGGATTTCGATATACGCCAAGAGGAGACTGGTTTTCCTTTGCCAAAGTAAGGAAGCTTCTTTTGCTCCTGCATTTCTCAGAGGCGCACGCACAACGCCTAAGTCTTACGTCATCTGTCTGCATGAGAAAAAATTAGTTTATTACGTTATTATTCGTTACAGGAGGCCTTTATTCCCCCCCGTGTGAGGAATGTTTTATTACGGATGCGCGCACTTTATTTCACGTCTTCTGAACTGTTGACAACCAACACCTGCTTACCCCCATTGAAAGGCTTGGAGGGGCCAGGACAATTTTTAATATAACTCAGATTGGATTGATCTGACAGAAGAAAGTCACATACACCTAGGATGCTTTGAGGGTTTGTAAAACACAGGCTAATTTAAATTTTTGGGTGAACTAACCCTTTAAGCGTGGTGTGTGTAAGGGCTTAAGTGTTGCTGGAGAAATGGATTGGAGTTGAAATCTAGAATAATTGCTGTTAATAGTGTTCATCATCTGTTTGATTACGTCTTTAATTGATTTTTCCGTACATTTCTGCCATATGTACATTAATTGACAGTCACCACTGATAAGCTACCACTAAATATTGTAGAAACTTAATTTGTTGTAAAGTTGCTTTGCAACGATTTGTATCGTGAAAAGCGCTATACAAATAGAATTTAATTGAATTGAATATTGCAAAATATATAACGTGTCAGAATATAGATAGTAATAACACTGTTAAAGGGTAAGTTCACCCAAAAATGAAAATTAGCCTGTGTTTTACTCACCCTCAAAGCATCCTAGGTGTATGTGACTTTCTTCTTTCAGACGAATCCAATCTGAGTTATATTAAAAGTTGTCCTGGCCCCTCCAAGCCTTTCAATGGGGGTAAGCAGGTGGTGGTTGTCAGTTCAGAAGACGTGAAATAAAGTGCGTGCATCCGTAATAAAACGTCCCTCACACGGCTCCGGGGCATGAATAAAGACCTCCTGTAGCGAATCCATGCATTTTTGTAAGATAAATATCCATATTTTAAATGTAATAAACACTTTTCTCTCACTGTCACAAATTCAGCCTCTGTGGCTCCCTCCGATCACCACCAGAGGGAACCATCACCGGAGTACTGAGCGATCCCTTCGGACTCCAGTTCCCACAATGCCCCATGCCTGAGTCTAATCACCTGCACAGGTGTTTCCTATTGCCCGGTCTATTTAAACTGCCTTCCCTGCTCTCATTGCGTCTTGTTTTGCCTCGCAGACATTTCTGAGCATTTTCCCTGTGTTATATACCTGTTGATTACCTGGACTGTTTACCCGTTCACGATTGCTCGCTGCCTACCTATTCTGACCCTGCCTGCCTTGTTGTCCCTCACACGGCTCCGGGGCATGAATAAAGACCTCCTGTAGCGAATCCATGCATTTTTGTAAGATAAATATCCATATTTTAAATGTAATAAACACTTTTCTCTCACTGTCACAAATTCAGCCTCTGTGGCTCCCTCCGATCACCACCAGAGGGAACCATCACCGGAGTACTGAGCGATCCCTTCGGACTCCAGTTCCCACAATGCCCCATGCCTGAGTCTAATCACCTGCACAGGTGTTTCCTATTGCCCGGTCTATTTAAACTGCCTTCCCTGCTCTCATTGCGTCTTGTTTTGCCTCGCAGACATTTCTGAGCATTTTCCCTGTGTTATATACCTGTTGATTACCTGGACTGTTTACCCGTTCACGATTGCTCGCTGCCTACCTATTCTGACCCTGCCTGCCTTGTTGATTCATGCCATTGATTGTCTGCCGCCTGCCTCGACCCTTATTACGAACACTGTTTATGATTCTGCCCAGCCTTCGTTGTTTCTAACGCCAGTTTACGATTTATGCCTGTATGACCTGCCTTGTGAACTAATAAAGCTGCACATGGATCCTAATGCCACTGCCTCTCTGTTACACTCACTTCTGCTGACTGTGGTACGCGGAAGCCGTTCCGGCGGATGACGTAAGACGTCGACGTTGCATGATTAGTGACGAACGCGGAGACAAAACAAAACGCCGTTCACGAATTAGTAGCACAAAACGAGGATTTGTAAAGAAAAATGTGGGAGGATTTCGATATACGCCAAGAGGAGACTGGTTTTCCTTTGCCAAAGTAAGGAAGCTTCTTTTGCTCCTGCATTTCTCAGAGGCGCACGCACAACGCCTAAGTCTTACGTCATCTGTCTGCATGAGAAAAAATTAGTTTATTACGTTATTATTCGTTACAGGAGGCCTTTATTCCCCCCCGTGTGAGGAATGTTTTATTACGGATGCGCGCACTTTATTTCACGTCTTCTGAACTGTTGACAACCAACACCTGCTTACCCCCATTGAAAGGCTTGGAGGGGCCAGGACAATTTTTAATATAACTCAGATTGGATTGATCTGACAGAAGAAAGTCACATACACCTAGGATGCTTTGAGGGTTTGTAAAACACAGGCTAATTTAAATTTTTGGGTGAACTAACCCTTTAAGCGTGGTGTGTGTAAGGGCTTAAGTGTTGCTGGAGAAATGGATTGGAGTTGAAATCTAGACAAATAGATAAAGTACAATAAAATGAACATGAAGAAGAAGAAGAGTATGCATTCTTCCCACAAGTTTGAAACAACACTTTATGAAAAGCCAAATAACTTAAAATCTCAAAAGTGACCGATAGGAGTTTTTGTAAGTGTCTTTTTTTGGTTTGTATTATTATGAAATTAAACATTCCTCACCTTCAATAAGTAGATGAACCATGCTTATTTCTTCAGTCTCTGTTGTTTTACAGCGATACGATCCTGTGTCGTCTACAGTGAGTCGAGTGATGGACAGCGAGAGATTCCTGTGAATCTGAACTCTGTCTTTGTATCGCTGACCCTTAATCGCGTCCACTGGAAACACTGAGTATTGAGGAGTGTACGTCTGAGAATCATAAATCCACCACTGGACTTCAGTGTGACCTGAGTTTATATCACTGCAGGGCAGCAGCACAGACTCTCCTGGAGAACAGGTGACAAAACTTGATGACACCACTACACAGCCTACAAAGACACAAAAACACAGAAAACATTCAATCCTAGATCAAAATACTTGAGAAGCAGAATATTAAAAATAACTTATATTGAGTTATATCAAGTCAGCACACAATGAGTTAGCAAACAGTCTGAAAATACAACTTCCATCTCTATTCTTTTTTAATTAATCTTACAAAGAGTATAGGATATGGAAACTTTTACGGTACCTTCTTAAAACACAGCAAAAAGTGCTGTTCAGCATCAGTATTCTTGTCTTGTTCAAAATTACGTGAGTTTATGATTAAAACAAGAAGAAATATCTGTCAATGAGGTCAGAAAAATCTACTTCATTCAAAGGGAAAACAAGTTTTTATACCTACCGACAGATATTTGTTCTTGTTTCAAACAAACTCATGTTGTTCAGTTTTTCAGAAAACAAGGATGTTTAGGTATTTGAATTGGAAAACATAAATACTGAAGATATTTAATATTTGCAGTGCAAAACATTATGAATTTAAAATGACTTTCTGCTCTGATTTAAGACCTTTTAAGGCATTAATTTGTGGACGGGTGGATTAAGACTTTTTAAGACCCACAGAAACTGATGAAATGAAGCATCCATGGACGTTTCAAAACAAACTTTTCATATTTATGATGTTAATGAACAAGCTAGTAATAAGACGATTTATGAGCTGATATTAGGCCATTTTCTGATTATCAGTCTGATCTGACCGATCAGTTAAATTTCAATTGTTTAACAGTTCAATAACATCACATGAATTGTTATTGTCTTAGATTGCTACACTCCATTCTAGCAGTAAATCGATGGAAAGATCGACAAAAATAGCAGAAACAGAAACAGCTAGCAGACTCAAATATAATGTGTTTCTTTGTCTGATGTAAATCAGTGTCTGAAGTCACTCGTTCTGTCGTTCAGTCGTACCTGTTGTGAAGTGAAGTCCAGAGCAGAGCAGAAAAACACACAAGCACATCACGTCTGAAGCCATGACTCTCTGCATGTCTCTTCTTTATCTCTGTTCACTCGTCTTTTAGAAAGAAAAAGAGAAGTATTTCTATATTTACACCATAGTCACCACATCCTGAGAAGTTCTGCCTCTGTTAAAAATGCTGATTCGAGAAAGCATCTGATTTTATCATATATTGATTTTGTACATGTAACATCTTGAAAAGCTTTACTGAAATATACCATTAACATGGAGCATGAAGTCTTTTATAGTTGTACTCTTTAAAATCTCTTAAAATACATACTAATATAGCAGCAACAACAACAACTTTGTTTTGAGACTGAGGCAATAATCAATGTTTTAAATGCTTACATATACCTGTAACTCTGGCATATGGGTGAAAACACCCGTCTTGTCATGCCATATTCTCCAAACGTTTTTAGAAATAAGAAAACACTATTATTTGCATGCATATTTAAGATAGTTTAGTGCATATATCACATCATTCTGTGTAGGAAAAGCACTTCAGTCTGTAAACACACCGATTGGTTTGTCACTACAAACAGAAATCCACAAACTGGAAATTATTTCGATGTGCAGACTGTAGTTTCAGTGTTTTGAGTCATTATACTGAATGCGTGTTATTTGTCGAAAAATGGCCAAAAAATATTAGAACACCAGGTTCGTTGTGCTTGTTTTGTAGGGCTGCACAATTTGGCCAAAATTTTTGTTTTTATATATCGATATAACAAATAATAAGTATGATTATTATATTACTAAATAAACACATTAAACAAAATAAGAAATATTACCATTGTAATAACACTATTTCACTATAATATACAAAACAGAGTATTTAAGAATATAATATTTTACATAAAACATTTATTTTATAAGGTTTATAACTATAAATGATTAGAAAAGGTCTAAGGTTAAAATATTTCTGATTAAAAATCAGTGATGGTAATTTTTTCCAGCTATCGCTGTAGCTGAATAAGAAGACTGAAATGTTTTAACTGATGAAACATAAAGACAATAAACATACGAATGCGACAGGTTTATCTACATTTATTAAGCATCGCTGGTATTTTTATAAGAATAAAGTATATTCAACCGACACTGTATAGAATTTCTGACTTATTCTCTCATTCTCCTTCACGTCTTCCAAATTCTTAAGTGAATCTGGAGTAAAAACATGTCATTAAATGCTCTCTTTGTTGGACAACAGGTTTGTAAACACGCTCAAACATGCAAAACTGAATCGCATGTGTGCTATGTGGTAAATGTATTCAATGCACAGACCGATTTCTTTGAAGCACGTATGTATGTTGCATATATGTTGCCCCGTACAGCCCAAGTCATATTGTCTGTAATTTACACAGTAGAGCACGGTGCTAGCAATGCCAAGCTCATGTTTCGACTCACAAGGAACTCATTAAATGTAAATGTGTACCTTGAATGCATTGTAAGTCGCTTTGGATAAAATTGTCTGTCAAATGCATAAAGGTACATTTAAATGTATCATATGTCAAAAATATGGGATCACTGTACATCTGAGTAGCAAACGGTGCCATTGTTTTTGCAAATGTATCATAATCTTGAAACATACCAATAATCTAAAATAAGGCAAAAGAACAATATTGCTTCTTTTATTCTTCAGTGAATCAACAAACTGATTTCACAGAGCTGTAGGATGCAACTAAAATAAGTCAAATTAACTCATAAAACAGGTCCCTCTAGTGGCCAACAGATGAAACCTTTATTTTGTTCCTTTGCAGAGTTAGATATGATTGTGCACCTTTAAAGCAAGCTTTCAATGATGACAAAGATGCAGATGGATTGAGACTGAGACAGACGCTTATTACTACATGCCTTTTCCCTTTAGTTGTCAAATGGTATGTTTTCTGTCTAATTTTTGACTAGTAACAGCGAAAGTCATCTACATTTACATATTACAGGGCAGTGGAAATGACATAGAAATGACTTTTGCCTGATTTTTTTCATGATCTAGCTTGAGAATGACTGCGATCATTGTGTCTGATTTTCTCTCCATCAGGTCACTATCATTGTTTGGTGTCACTGTTTCAGTGTCTAACCTGTACAGGTGTAGCTGCTCCCTCTGTGGAGACACTTACCTCACCCTTGATGACATCACTTCCTGTCATGTGATCACCCCAGGTGTTTATGATACGTGCCAAATATATGCAGAAGTGTGGGCAAATTCTGTGTTCGTCTGAAAACAAACTTTCACAAAACAATTGATCTTTGTTCAATTCACAATACTCAAACGTGTGATATAAGATACATTGCTACTGCTGCTAAGCTACTCGATATTTTATACACTTTACAAAGGCCTATGCTATGTCTCCGCCACATGACGGCACCTGTCCTGAACTTACAATTTAAACATTAAATATGTTATCTTTTTTTAGATATGGACGTTATTTTATGAATACTGCACACCCTCCTGTTAATAAAATACGTGCCACTAATAAAACACACCAATCTGGAGATATTTCATTGTTTAAAATATTTTATGTCAAAAAGGATATAAATATGTAGGCTATATTTAAGCTGAGCTACTGTATATTACCCTATACCAATACGTTATTTATAAAGCAATATACAATTTTTTACATATGTACATATGATGATATAAGTTTATAACATAGCCTATATACAATAGGCTACCCACGTATATAGCCTAATAATATCTTTATGATAAATTTTCGCATGGTAGCCTATTAGTAGCAATTGATTTCTGTACGGTAGCCTATTATAAGTATAGCAATATACTTAGTATATTATAGCCTAATAAGTATAAGCATAAGTTATATAATAGGCTATAGCAATGTCAAATATTTATATATGCAACTTCATTAAACACTTGTATATATGTTTTTATACTACTTTTCTAAATACATGTCTATCTTTTATATATCCTTATAATATCAACATGACGTGCTTTTGGGATGAATATAGGCTACATCAGATTTGTATGGGCTACATGTAGCATACATGGCATAATATGTCCAAAAATCTATTATACATAGCCTTTATATGACAATATATTTCATGACTAAATAAATAAATTTGCGTATGGCATGTCTCTGAATCACAGCAATTATATCATAGCGATTTTAATTATTATATAGCTATGTACAACATTTTATATGGATACGTTTCATAAACAATATTGTATTTCCATACAATAAACTAAAACGTCTGATGCTTTCAGTCGTTGTTGAACTGGTCTCATCCTCTTCATCTGTTGCTAGGAGAAACGCTCGCCCGCTCTGATTGGCCCGCATCCTTCCGCCTCCAGCCAATCAGCGTAAGATCCGATAAACGCTCCTGGATCCTGGCGTTATGTCTGCATCCTCGCTCCGTCTGTTGTAAATATGAGGTTATGTATTTGAGAATAACACATAGGTAAGCAGCAACGCTTTTAACGTGCGGTGAAATATCGTTTGTGATGCGGCGGCTGAAGCTGGCTGAAATGGCGGACGGAGAGAGACAGTCGGCGCAGAATCCGAAGAAATGAGCGAATCAGAACGCACAGCGACTTTATTACAGGCTACACATAATAACACGGTTGGTGCATTTATATCATCGATGCAACTGTGTGCAATTATCATCACTGCGGGTGCATAACGCATCACTAAACTACAGCTCAACACTAGAATGCATTTCACTCTGTCTAATGCATCTGCTTGGGCCTGCTTTTCATATGCAAACAGAAACATTTGTTGCGTTAATGTTCAAAGTTTGATTACATGCATTGGTTTAATGCAGAATAATATGCAGGTCCAATAACAACTGTCATATATTACACATAATTTGTCGCATGCATCATGTTTTAAAATGCTATTTGCGTTGATAAGTTCATAGCTGAGGATAAAAGGATGCTAATATCATCTATGGTTGATTATTATAGTCTCTGTTCTCGTTTGTAGATGATCCTGACAGCATATATGGACACCTGTGTCCTTCACCAGGTAAAGGAAGGAACTGACAACACGCCTAACACGCGTGTTAGATATTGACATGTTTATGTTCTTATTACAAGTCCTGTCATAATGTCACAAAGCAATTGCTAAGTAATTTATTTGTGCACGACTATTTTCTTTGACCCTTGCAATTAATCATTTTTTTTGTCACTGTACACTACAGTACCATGCTATTTTAGTATCGTTGAGATACTAGTATTGTTTTTATTCATATTTTGAATAATTAGTTTTTATCTTTTTCATTTCAATTTTAGTTAAAGTTGGAGTAAGTGGCAACACCTTACAATAATATCCTATTAGTTAACATTAGTTATGCATTAGCTAGCACTAACAATAAGCAAGACATTTGTTATTTATTCATCTTTATTGTTAATTAATAAAAATACAACTGGTCGTTGTATGATGTACAATTTTGATTTTAATCATGCATTAGTAAATGTTGAAATTAACATGCTTTACAGTTATTTTTCATTGTTAGTTTGTGTTAACGTTGTAGTTGTATGTAGTAAATGTTAACAAATGGAATCTTATTTAAAGTATTACCACGTACAGGTACACGTACATGTTTACAGGGTGTTTTTTTTAAATGCTAGTTATTTTGCATCAATTTAATCTATGAAAATGAGAAATATGATAAATGTTGCCTAGATGAAAAAATTATAAAGATTTTTTATATTTTATTTCAGTTAATGTTTATTTTTGCAAAACATTTTCATGGTTTTAGTTTAGTTTTCTATAATAACGGTGTTACACAATTATTTGTAACTGAAATCATGATCAAATTAGCCAGAATATTTAATATATATAAATATAATCTAATGTTATGTTATATTATATTACATTAGATTATATTATATTCAGCTCTAGACAAATAATGTTTACAACCTATTTTACCTTTTTAGTTTTTTTAAGTAAAACACTATATTAAAGTCCCCATGAAATCAAAATGGATGTTTTTTGGCTTTTAGTATAAATATGTTAGCCTTAAGCTTATCTATAAGCTAGTGTGCTCCAAAACAATG